TTCTATGTTTGATAAGAACTCTTTATCATGTGTTGCACACTTAAAACTATTGAACTATTGCATTTGAAAAGGGCACATGTCATGAGTAAATTACCTGTCGTTCCCTGAACTCAGTGTGCAGGTCTGGGTGTTTCCGCCCTTAGCCATGCATGTTTTAAAACATCGTTTACACAATGGCGCATCAACGTTAAATGCCTCTCCTTGCTCATTTGTTTTTATGCCGAAGTACTGCCATATAGCACTTCGCGCCCCTCGTTTGTCCACAAGTTGCAGGGTGGTGACTGTTACAGCAGCCATTCTCCTCTCCGTGCTCCTCTCTCTCTCTCTCTCTCTCGCTCTCTCCCTCTCCAACGTCTCTGCTCTCTTCAAGCTTTCCTTCTGCTCCGTTTGTTGCTCCAGTCCACGCTGCTCAGTGAGCAGAGGACGAGGAAGCTGTTTCCTGCTCTGTTTTCCTCTGTTGCGGGCGGGCGCTGCCGGGGGCGCTGCAAGTACCGGTCCCATCCAAATGCAGTATAGTACCATTTTAAATGCCTCAGTACCGCGGTACCATACTAGTACCGGTATATCGTGCAACACTACACCAGATTCTTAAATCCCTTTTTTTTTTTTTCCCCTTTGCATAGTTTGGAGAAGATTTCCACACATTCTGGTGGGAAGTATGAATGTGTGTTCTTGACTGATCCAGACATTAATGGGACAATAGAAGTCAAAAGTAAGTTTAATACATTTCACAAGTCAATTTTGCTTTCATTTGTGGCTTGAAGTGTGCATGTTTACTTTAGATTTTTAACTAGAATGTTTGCTGTGTAGTTTTTGTTTAATAGTTGTAGATTTAGTTAGCTTATGTGCAAGTCTAAATAACTTGGATCTTGTTTTATTGCAAGAAATAAATGTTTAGGCAGGAAGCATCATGATGTCACTTTATTAATAGGAAGTCCTGATAATATGCTTGCTTATGAAATCATCAGCTAATAGTGCCTTTTCAACTTTTACATCTCATCTGTTGTATACTTGGAGCTATCTTAAGCAATCTGTTGCAGACAAATTGAAGGGAAGTCACAGTTTGTACGGGGACACCTATGGTGTTGGAGATTTTCTCTACAATGATAAATTGATTTGAACCCTGATTTTGTTTTTCCTCTGTGCCAAAGGTAACTCAGCACTGTTAAATGCACATGCATTAGATAAGGGAACAGTCACAGGTTTGACAGAATTGATCATGTAATCAACATAAGCAACAATTACACACTTAGCTATTGAAACACTGCAGTCAGTTCAAATTCTTATATGAAGGAACCTCTTCCTCTTGGATAAAGGGTCAAGGGCAGTTTGTTTAATTCACAAACATTCATGTTCAGATTTGAGTACGTTTTCTTTTCTTCCTGTAGCCCTTCCCCACGTTGGAGCCTACAAGCATTCTGAGCATGCCAACGAGAATGACAAAGCTGTGTTAACCTGTGTGAGCCACAGCTATCCACTGCCCACATCTTGGGAATGGGCCAAAGAGATGGATGGTAGTCAAACAGTACGTCTTCCTATTGTCTCTTTCATACTTGACTTTTATAACATCTTAAAATTGTGTATGGTGTTTTGTTTAGCCAGAAAACATGAACCAAAACATTTCAGTGACTAATGATAATTAACATTTTGAAATGATGCAGTACGGTTACACCTGTTTTTTTGTTGTTGTTGTTTCCCCTCTACCTATTTTATTTGAACAAAATCCTCAGTTGATCAACGGCAGTACTGACAAATATGAGATCAAGAGCACCCCTAACAAGACAACTCTCACCATTGTTGACCTGAGCATTGAAAAGGACATTGGAGACTATGTCTGCTTCGGAACAAATGAACTTGGCACAAACTCCGACAAGATCCACCTGCGTGTCCGCAGTAGCCTGGCAGCTCTCTGGCCCTTCCTCGGCATTGTGGCTGAGGTCATCATCCTTGTGACCATCATCTTCATCTATGAGAAGAGGAGAAAGCCTGATGAAGTCAATGACGGTATGTACGGCAGACCACCTGCACTGGTATATATTACATCAACTCTCAGGCCGTGTTCAGACTGACACCAGTACCCTGTGATAAAACGCTGCCTTCTCATTCATTTCAATGAGGTCACAGACACACAGATTAGATTCTTTGGGTGGCAATAAAAATGGACAAACATCATCCAACACAGCACCACATTCGCCAGTCAAGCATGTGCATAATCTGGTTCCTTGTACTTTACTGTCATTTTGTTTTACCTTGGAGCCATCCAGACACAAGTTCACATAAGATCACTGCCAGGGCTGTGCAACAAGATGATCTCAGTAATTTGTTTCAATAAACAAATCTTGTTTTCCATCTGGATTATCGCTCGTCTGCACAATTGCCCTAATAAGCTACAGCAACAGGGCTAAGTAGCTGATGGTTGTAGGGTCAAAACAAAGAAATAGTACACAAATGTTTCGCTTTTTAAAGCTGGATAAACCGCAGAGCGATTTATATGCAGGCAACCTGTCGGTCAAGATAGGACATGCAACAAACCTTGTCTACAGCTGTAAAGGTAACGCTACCATCCCTGTACACAAATCCAAAGTCTGTGCTCGCAGTAACTAAGACTCATCCCTACAAACCAAGGGGGAAAAACAGCTTTCAAAAGGTAATGAAAGTGGATGAAATGAAATTGAAGTTTGTCCGTGTTGCATCAGCATTAAGCAGAATACAGATGACGTGTATGGGTAAAAAAAAAAAAAAAAATCTGTATTTTTGGCTTTATCTTCCAGCCCTCTGTGGTACCATACAAAATTTATAAAAAAATTTTTGTTTTAAGTGATACTGTAGTGCCGCAGGACCCCAAAGCTTTATCTATTTATATAGATATATGCGTGCTATAATTGTGTATTATGACTGTCTTTAATCACCATAATTTTGTGTCTGATCAGCCTCTCAGAAATGACATTTTTGTCAGCTGGCCACATTTGGTGGTGAATTTTAAGACTCACTGATCATTATTTTACTACTGTACATTTACTACATTTTTGGAGTGGATATGACCATTTCTTAACCAACACAACTTTGTGGGCAAGTGTTGTCCTTTGACATAATGTGTGGCTAAAAGGGTGTTAAGGAGCCTATTTTAAGTCATTCACTTTCTAATAGGACAAAAACATCCAATTATTGACCCAACTTAGTAAACCACAAGCTCAGAAGATTTGGCGCCATCCTGTAGCAAATTGAAGAATATTGCAGCAAAGCACTGTTCTTTAGTTGGAGATGTATAGAATGTAGTTGCATGCATTTTAGTTTGAACTGTACTTTTTTTTTTTTAAGATCATTATTTCAATTTTTAAAGTAAAACTAGAATTGGCTTCTACCTTTTTGTATAAGAAAAATTTGATTAAAAACTTATTTACATTTTTACTTCTGTTTGCTGCTGATTTTGCATTTTGGTAAGTGAACAATACTGCATGTTCGACTGAAGTGGTTGGGCTGAGATGACGTGCTGGGAAAACAAAAAGCTATGGGAGCTTGAATGAACTGCTTACATAGTCGCCACTTCTGAGAGGAATGTGCTCAAAGATTTGGTCACTCTTTCACTGGCCCTGCAATCTGAATATGATGCAAGCTTTAAAAGCCCCCCCCCACTTTATTTCTTGGTCTTTTAAAAAAAAAAAAAATCCTGTTTGAGCCAAGGAAAGAGTCAAATAAGACAAGCTAGTGTAATAGTCAAACAGTGAGGGGTTTCAGCATTCTGTCTGCATGCATTGTGTACTTTATGCATGATAAATGATAGGCAGGCCTCTTCTCGGGATCAGTATTCTGTTTACCACTGTCACATTCACCAGTTGGCCACAGCAATGGGCTACCCTTTGCCTTACCTTGTGAATACTTGTTCTTGCTCTGGTGTTAATACTGCCACTAAAAAAACATCGGGATGTCTGAGTTCTGCCAGTTTTAAAGGGGTTTACTTTTAAATTTTTTTTTTTTTTTTTGCCACTGCGGAGTTCTTTGGTGTCCATTGCTTGTATTGCATGGTTCTTTGTGATGCTGAGGGGTGACTGGATAGCAGACAAACATTTGTGAATGGCAACTTTCAAATATTATTACAGATTTACCAATGATGCGCAAAGTCAAGTGTCTTTTACAAAATCTTTCAAGGATTTTGTCATTTTCAGATTAAGGATCAGGTGGGCATGCCTCAGTTCATGTATAGTCTTTAAATTGGTCTTGATCTCATTGAATCATGCACAGGATGTTTTGTTTTTTTAACATTTGCTGCCATCGTTTGTGGGGAGTGGGCTTGGCTTGTTTTACTTGCATCAGTCAGACATGTAACATGCACTCAACTGATTCTTGTTTTTCTTTGCTTTCCTTCACTGATCATCTGCTGCTGCCCAGATGATGACTCAGGATCTGCCCCCCTGTAAGTATTCTCAGCGGCTCAGTACTTTGATTGTCACTGTGGATTTTCTCTTGTTACAGAACTTTTTAATCATCTTTTTCAGGAAGAGCAATTCGACTGCAAATCACAAAGACAAGAATGTGAGGCAAAGGAATTCTAACTAGAAGCTGAAAGAGGTGTGTAAGTAAGAGGGGAGAACTACATGACTAAAATATTTTTTATTTTTAATAAACAGGTCAGTTTGATTTCCAGAGTTTTGGATCTTGAATTCTGCATGTGAAATTTAGACCAAAACTTTGTGAGAGGGTATAAAGTATTGTACTTAACTCATGCCCCTTTTTTCCTTCCTAGATGCACATGCAGATCACAGTCCAGGATTCAGCTGTTGTGTGGCACATCATATGGTGCACCTTGAAATTTTCAGTACCTTCTTTTGCTTGGGTGTTAATGTTTTAAGAAAGTGACTGGTTTCTTCTGGTGTAGTTTTCTTCTGTATCCTCCACGTTGTGCACCCAGAGATCATAGTGAGATCAAATTTCTGCTTGAGGCTGTGGGGCAACTGTTGCATGAGTTTAAATGCTGTTCTAGCAAAGTGTTTGTGGTAAAATCATTAGAATGCTCGTGAGGAATGCTTAGTTTGTAGATATTTGTTTATACTAATACTTCCTATCCTACATTGACCTCAGTTTGTCAGTATTTGCTTTTATACTTTCCAATACTGAGGTGTTTTGTAAAGCAGCATAAGTGGATCTGAACCATTTTTGATCTCTAACATCGCTGCCATTGTTACATCCAAGTCTGGAGTGCATTTTGAATTCACATTTGGTCTGTCCCTACACCACCACAAACCTCCCTCCCTTGCCTTAACAAGCGCCATTTATCTTGTCTTTGCATTTTGGTTACTTGCTACAAGAATTAAATGTGACACAGAAGTAGGATTCAATGTGTTGGGTTTTGTCGCTTGAATAAATTGGGTTTTTTATTGAAAGCTCTTGTCATTTTTAAAAATTTTTTGTAATATTTACATATATTAAACTGAAGTTTTAGGAAGTTATTTTAGTTGAATGAAACTAATGCTACGCATCGTCTAAAACTGCAAATAAACATTTATTTCCTGTTACGTGATTTGAGATTTAACCCTTTGTGTGCGATTTGGATTGTCATTTTATCTCCTCGGTGTAGATGAGTCACAAGCTATAGTGACTGGATGTTACATTTCACAAATAAAAAAAGACCTAACCTGAACTGTGTATGTTGTTGTGCCTTCCAAATACAGTGAGTACCATCTGTTGTACAACTTGCATAAATGGCTGATGCTCAACTTGATGCAAATCCAAGTCTGTCCCGACAGGCTGCGGGGTATCTCAATCACTACATATTTAGATCCCCCAAAATGGTTTATGAAATCCTTATATTTAAATTTTTGGTAGATATGCTGTACAATGTTTCCCAAATGGCTGCATGGGTCATTGTTTGTTACTGTAATGTAGTCAAACCTCTTGGTTTGTCGAGGAGGATGTAGATGCAGGCTGACATCAGAGTGACTTAACCTTAAGTCTGTAGCTGACAGTGATCTGAGGCTGTTGATCTGTTTCTCTAGAATATTGTATTCCTAAATAAATGTGCTGCCTCAAACTAGTTGGGCAATAAAGGAGGTTTAGTGTTTCTCAATTCATACCTTATTTCAATATTTACTGTCACTGTTGAAAGGTTCACATCAGGTCGGTCTTAAAACCAGCTTCCCATGTGTACATTAGTTTTGGTAGTATTTCTGTCCATCTAACAGATCCCTTTTAATATGCAAAAGTACATTACAAGATTTGCAGTCATGTGAATCAAGTGGGTCTCTTCCAGAATGTGTCCTTTTGGTTCAAGGTTCAAAGTGTTGGTCATAAGCACAGTAAGGAAATGTTTCCCTGTACAATGAAATTCTTTGCCTTCCACACTGAATGCCACACACAAGTGAAATATAAAGTAAATAAATGGCACAAAATCTAAAGGCACTTTAGCAAGTGAAAAGAAATATAAAATATACTCAACACTAAGACAATGTGCAATAGTCAGCAGTGGGTGTACGATTATGCATGTGCAACTGATCATGTACACAGTACAGGTGGAATTACATGAAGTAATTCCTGATTGTAAACTCCTGTCAGTTGTTTAGGAGTCTGATAGCAGTTGGAAAGAGTTTTTCAGTCTAGAAGTCCTGTGTTTCACACTCCTGAACCTCGGGCTTGAGAATAGAGGGGTGAACAGTCCATGCTGGGGGTGGGTGGGGTCTCTGAGGATGGAGGCAGCTCTCCTGTGGGCTCTGCGGTGGTAGATGCTCTGCAGATGAATGAGCCATCTCTAATGTGCTGATGATACAGTGGAATTTGCGAAGAGCTGCGTTGGAATTAGCTTGTGGGGCTATATACACTCCAGCCAAAACCACACTGCTAAATTCTCTTGGTAGATAATAGGGACGGCATTTCAGCAATAAAAACTCCACATCTGGCGAACAGTGCTTATAAACAGTCTGTATATCTCCACACCATCTGGGGTCTGCCAGTCAGAAAGTCCAGGAGCCAGCCACAGAGGGTGGGGTGCAGACCAAGGGTGGACAGTTTGTGGGGGACAATTGTGTTGAAGGTGGAGCTGTAGCCAATGAAGAGGATCCCGATGTAGGAGTCTCCATTTTCCAGGTGAGTAAGGGAATAGTGGAGGGCAGCTGCGTTGGCATCTGAGGTGGCCCTGTTGGGCCGGTAGGCATACTGCAGGGGGTCCAGGGGCTCCGGTATACTGCTCCGGATGCAGGCCAACACCACTCTCTCAAAACACTTCATAATGATTGGGGTGTAGTTGTTCAGGCAGGTGACTGGGCTCTTCTTGAGAAGGGGGATGATGGATGTGGTCTTAAAGCAGGTGGGGACGATGCTCTGGCTGAGGGAGAGGTTGAAGATTGTGGTGAGAACATCAGCCAGCTCGCTGGCACATGCCCTGAGAGCCCTCCCAGGGATGTTGTCTGGTCCCCCTGCTTTGCAGGGGTTGATCTTCCTCAGGACTTTGCATACCTGGCCTGGTGAGACAGATAGTGGAGGGGAGGTCGGGGGGTGGTCCAAAAACACTATCTAAACAATCAGTTAATAACCACTAAACAGTCTGCTAACAACTAAATGCTTTTCTTTAAATGTAAAGAACATAACTTGACAAAGTTTTAACATGAACTACAAACAAATAAACAATACATTTCTCCGAAACACCCCCCTTTCTTGTATTGGGCACTTGGTGCAGTCCAGGCCTACTGGGGGGTACTGCTGCTTCCTCACTCCGATCTTTTGCCAGAACCGCCCCCCAACTTGCATGCTCTTTGATCAATTAGAGTATGTTCTTGTAGTCCAATATAAAACAATACATAACCTTTACCTACAACTTAAAACTACACACATGAACAAAGAAAACAAAAGATTACCCAACCAAGTCTACTACTGTTAGTGGTTAGTGATGTCCAAATGAAGCAATGAACCAGTATCGAACCACTTCATAAATTGTATCGAACATAGGTTCATTCATTCATTCAAAGGTTTGTTTCAGTGACATCTAGTGGCGAAATAGGAGACAGCACAACAATGTCTGAATTATGTGAATGCTCTATGATGGTGATCAAACAAAGGTAACAATGATACAGTAATAATGACAGCAACTATGCACACACCTACTATGATGACCCACATGTTGTGCATCATTTTGGGTGGCTATATAGTGCTTTTATGTGCCTACAAACCTGCTGACGTGCAGAAAGGTCTCGTGTTATAAAGCAGTTTTGACTGTTTGAACCAGGGATTCACTTGGGACCGAAACAGTTTCTACTTTGGATATCATCAGTCACGTGTCTTTTTTGGCAACAAAGCAGGCTTCAAAGCAGTGGTTTGTGGAAAATGCCTCTTCAAGTTTGAAGCTTGCATCGGAGCCTCGGTGTCAGACGTCCATCACCAGTGGTGGCCCTCACATGGTGAAGGCCAGGACTGAGGCCTTCACAGTCTCATTGCCTGATCTGAATGCAAGAGAGCGAGCACGCAGCATGTGGTGTACCTGACTGCTTATCCAGGGCTTCTGGTTGGGACACCTCCTGACTTGTACAGTGGTTATGATGTTGTCAGTACAGGTACTAATGTACCTGGTCACATACTCAGCATAGCCCTGTATGTTGACAGAAAAATCCTGAAAGGTGGCTGCAGCTTTTAAACACATCCCAGTCTGTCTGGGCAAAACAGTCCTGCAGGGTGCCTTCAGTCTCTGGGGTCCAGAGTTTAACTTGTTAAATCCTCCTTATTTGTTTTCCCAGCTAATGCTGAGCTCTGGTGAAGGCATAGCAACACAAAGTGGGAATTTCATACTTAGAAAAGACAAACTTAAAAAAAAAAATCCCTTTCTTAGTTAACTCAAAGTGCTGAAGCCCATCATTAGCCGCAGATAAACTTAATGTACACTGTGGACTTTGTCCCCATCACTGCTTTGTAAGCACCTTAGGAAGGGAGCTCTTAATGATTACAAACAGGAGGAATGATTACAGCAACATATGGGTGCCTCACTACTGTTTGGGGGTGGGAAAAAAATTGACTGCAGTACTTCCTGATTTAGATCTGGGGGGGAACTACTGTATGTATTAGAATAGGCTACCCTGTGCTCTGAGTGCTGAAAAATAGCCTCATTTGTCAGTTAAGAACCCTTTGAATTGTGCAATCTGTAGATTTATTCCAGCCCACAAGGTGGAGCCCTTTAATCAAGAGATTGCACCCTGACCATCTGAGCAGACCGCAGCCAACATAAAAGAAAAAGGCAGACGCTGGCATCATAGCCTCCCAGTCTAGTTAAGAACACCTAAATGTAGTTTTATACCTGATTCCTTTTCACCTATAAATACCTGGACTCAGCAATGGACGACAAAAGACGGTTTCCCGTGACCTTCATTTGTTACCTTTGCCCTGATGTTTCTATCAGGTGAGTTTATTTATGTTTTAATCATATTTATGTGTTTATTTTATCAGCTGATTTTTCTTTCTAACCGCACTAATAGCCTGGGCGTGCCCGGCCTTAGCAAAAATTACTTTCTTTTGGGCACAAATTTGACGCTACTTGTAGGTGGTTGCGACCCATGGGTAATGCTGTTTCCTTCTCTCTCTCTCCCCGTCTCTCTCTCACACGCACACAAACAGAACAACAACAGCAGCCATAGCAACGCCACCGGTGCGCTGTTATCCTAAAGTGGAGTGAATGGAAAGCGCAGGGCTGTTGCTGCTTTGAACTCTACCCTCCTTCCTCTGCCTCCACCCAGTCTCTCCAGGTGTGGCTGTGTTTTCTGCCCTCGACAACCACAAGTGGCCAGTTTGACCGGATGCAATGATCATGGGAGCAGTGGAGGAACCGAGATGAAGACATGCACGCCGGGAGGCGGAGCCCCGTCCATTGCGCGTAAAAACTCCAACAACAATGAGCTGTGGCTCTTGCGAGAAAAAGACTCCGCACCTCTGAGTGAGAGTGACGGCACATCATCTTCTCTGTTATGCCAGAGGGATGCTCTCGGAAGTCGGGGTGGCTCAGAGTCAGACCACAGGAGTGGAGGTGGCACAGTCATAGACGCAGGCGTGATAGGAGACGGAGCCATCGGCATGATATGCAACAAAAACGGAGACTGTAGAAGGGACCCGACCAGCTCAGGGAGCCTCTCTTCCCTCATCTCAAGGCAGGAGAAACAGGCAGATGTAGTAGTAGCACCAGAAGACGGCAAGGGGCAGGCTGCAAGAATGGACGGCTCCATCACCTCAGTGGGATCCCTGACACAAGGGCCGGGGGTCGAGGTCAAGACAGCGGCAGCCGTGGAGAAAAGGGACCCCAGAGTTTCCTTCTCCAGTGCCCCGACTAGTAAAGGAGGGCAGACTCCGTGTCAACAGTCGAGAAATTCTGTCACATTCAGCAAAGCTGAGGATGGTTCTCAGATTGTTCCGGATGATGGAGACTCCAGGGGGAATCAGACATACATGCAGCGGCAGTTTAGTTCTATGCTTCAGCCCGGAGTTAACAAATTCTCCTTGCGCATGTTTGGAAGTCAGAAGGCGGTGGAGAAAGAGCAAGAGCGTGTAAAGTCGGCGGGTAATTGGATTATCCACCCATACAGCGACTTCAGGTATGAATCAGATTGAGTTATAGATTCATAAAGTTGGTCTGCACAAAACCACAGTGGGCATCTGGTGTCTGTTTTTGTGGCT